GGGTTCGATAAAATTTCAAGGTTCTTGGGAATACAGTGGTAGTTACCCTGGTCAGTAGTCTTGTCCATATGATCCAGGTTTTTTTGGAATTTGTCCAACAACTTGGTAGAAGCACTCTCTTCAACCACCTGAAATGAGACAAACGTACAGCTAAAATGAGTCTAAAATAACTGAAGTTGACGAGCTATTTGTTAACTTTTGTCATTAAGGTCGTAAGAATAAAGTGGAAGACCAACAGTATAGCATAAGAAGAAAAAACGTATGATTTCTTAAACTTCTACTTTTCCTGATTTTTTTCGACCCATACATACGAAACCCACGAACACAGGTACATTGCTTGGGCTGCCTGTGCTCAAGAGTCAAACGGCGATCCCTACCCCATGCCTTATCGAGTTTTAAAGCGAGACGTCAATCGTATGGAAAAATGATTTCCGGTTCCAAAACGAAAAATAGAAAGATTTTTTAACAGGGTTGAGAGGTAACGACTTAAAATTCAAGGACTATTCAAGGAGTATACAAGGACCCAAAAATGAATTTTCAAGSAGYATGTTCAGCTAACTATGCCAAGGTTTTACACGGTGGTTGCACATGGCCGACTTTCAGATTTTCCGATCTTTCTGACTAGATCTATTTCAGAACCATACAAGTAATGATCAAAGAAAAATTTCAAGAGCTTTTCAAGACGTGAATAAATTCAAGGAGTTTTCAAGGAGTTTAAGGAGTAGCACGAACCCTGTTTTAAACATTTTCTTCATGTCAGGATCTGTTAAATCATTGAGATTATTTTCCGCTTTATGTTAGCGGTTTTAGTGAACAGTTGAGACCGGAAATACGTCGGTCACACTCTAAAAGCCCTATAGAGCGTTTTCACTCACGTGAGAAGGCAGCCATATTGGTGTACCAAGCAATAGAAACTTTCTGCACAGTTTTTGCATAAAAATAGAGTTCAATTCCCATAGGATAGAAAATGTATTGTTTTGGTACCCCATAATGGCCGCTGTGACGTCACGTGAAAGCGCCCTATAGGGACTGAGACAGTCGTCTCCTTACGTCGTATAGTTTGTATGCCAAGACTTTCAGGTCTTTGATGCTGGTCTGGTCACACCCATTCAAGTCTAAGGAGGTGAGGACCTTACATAGGACACGAGTACCAGGGGCTTGTGGATCGGACAGGACCTCATTCGCTACTTTGAGGGCTAATGACACATGACTGCAACCCTGTATAACGTAACAAAATTAAAGTGATGATGTTGATAATGACAGTGGTGATGATAATGATGGTGATGATGATGGTTAATGACGGTGGTGATGATGATGGTAATGATAATGGTGATAATGATGGTGATGATGATTGTGGTAATGATGGTGATGATAATGATGGTAATGATGATGGTGATGATGATGGTATTAATGATGGTGGTGATGATGATGATGGTAATGAT